CTGCGGACCTGGTCTAGGATTGTGTCTGGGGGTACCCGAAACTTGGCAGAAATTCCTACTCTGCAGGAGGTGTGGGGCAGGTAATGTGGAGTGGTGGGGGGCGGCCGAGCGTGTGGGTGAGGGTCCTGCCCACGCTGAGCCTTGGCTGGGATTGGTACCGCGGCACAGAGTAGCAGGAAGCTCTCCACAAACTCCCCGGACGTGGGCTAGGACTGGGTCTGGGGCTTCCTGGAAGTTGGCAGAACTTCTTACTTGGCGGGAGGGGTTCGGACGTATGGCAGCGTGGTGGGGGGCGGCCCGAGTGGGCGGGAGAGGGTCCGGCCCACGCTGCGCCTGGGCTGGGACTTGTCCCGCCGGTGCAGGGTAGCAGGAAGCTCTCTACACACTCACCGGACCTGGGGTAGGACTGGGTTGGGGGTTCCTGGAAGTCAGCAGAAAGTCCTACTGGGCGGAGGGGTGGGGACATATGGCAGAGTGGTGGGGGGCGCCCCAAGGTGGCGGGCGGGGGTCCGGCCCACGCTGCGCCTGGGCTGGGTCTGGTCCCATGGGCGCAGGGTAGCAGGAAGCTCTCCACACACTCACCGGACTTGGGTTAGGATTGGTTCTGGGGGTTCCCGGAAGTGGGCAGAAATTCCTACTCGGTGGGAGGGTTTGGGACGTATTGCGTTGTGGTTAGGGGCGGCTTGAGGTGGTGGGAGTTGGTCCGGCCCACGCTGCGCCTGGGCTGTGATTGGTCCCGCCAGCGCAGGGTAGCAGGAAGCTCTCCATACACTCACCGTACCTGGTCTAGGACTGGGTCTTTGGAAGTTTTCTGCTATTACTTCTGCCCATAATTTTTTAATGGCCTTTGTATTGACTCTTTATTTCTCATTGTTGCCTATTGGTCTCACAGTGTTCATCTTTGCGTCATCTCGCAGGTGATGAAATATTCTTTCGTGCATCCTCGTTGTTTTTAAGAGATCCTTTCTTGCCTTTTCATTAGCTGCATGAGCACCTTCAAGATCTGAAACTCTGTTTTCAGTTAAACGATTTTTCAAGCTTGTGATTGAGATTTTAATTTCCTCCATATCTCTTTGACTTTGCTTCATGCGATCTATTTCTTTCCTGAATTGCTTATTCAGGGAATCCGTCATTTTTCTAATCTCCTCTATGTTTTTTTTATCAATGTCTTCTTTGGAAGCAGTTATAAGTTCTTTTTTTGCAGTGTTTTTTTCAGATTTGGTTTCTTCCCTATGTTTCTGTAGTTGATTCTTTACTTCAGGTGTTATGAATCATGAGAATCCTATTTTTATTTCAGGAAATATTTCTGGTCTGAGTTCCTCTATAACTTTCTGCTGTTGCTTATTTACTATCAACACTATTAATTCATCCCTTTGAGCTGAGCTAGTGTCCGCTGCACTTGTTCTGGGTGGCATTGGGTTTCCTCCATATGTTTCTGTATTTGATACTTTACCGCTGATGCTGTTGATTCAGGCATTTCTTTTTAATTTCCAACCTGAGTTCCTCTATACCTTTCTGCTGTTATTTCTTTATTTGAGAAGGCATTGGTTCATTGATTTCTGATTTGTCATTCCCAATTTGTTACGTGGTAGTATGCTTTGCACTTGTTATGGATGGTTTTGGGGTCTGAGATTGCATTTTGCTTCGTCTCATTGTCATTTTTTGTAGCACTGTCTTCTGACATTTGTTGTAGATCTTTGTTGCAGTTACAACCCTAGCACCTACTGAAATTCAGGTGCCTATCTACAAAGCTTGAATTTATCCAGGTATGCTGGATGTGGGTGCTGTGCTCTGCTCCTTCCTGCCTCCGCCCGTGGGAGTGAACCTTTTGTGCCCCTCTGGCAAGATGTTCTGCTCCTGGCGTAGCTGGGTGGTTCTGTGTCCTACTCTTTCTCCAGGAATTGTACCTGCAAGGTTTCATTACAGGCCTGTATGCCCATTCTGAGCACTGTCTGGAGAGGACAAGGTTGAGAAGGGGGAGAGGAAGCTCTCCCACACTCTCACCCGTCCTGAGCTAAGACTGGGTTTGGGGGTCCCTAAAATATGGCAGAAAGTGTCACTGGGTGCCTGATTGGGGAGGGGCGTGCTGCGCATTGGTGGCGTGGTCCCAGGAGGGTAGAAGAGGGTCTCACCCACGCTGCGCCTTGGCTTGAACCATCTTGTTTCGCTGGTGCATGGTAGCTGGAAGCTGTCGTACTTGCTCACCGGGGCCTCTGCTAGGACTTGATCTGGGACAAAATTAGTCTGGACTTAAAACTAGTGCTTGAAAACAAATTGAACTTCTAAGTGAAGGGTTCATTCTTTTATAATGTTTATCAGCTTGAAATATTTGATAGTTCTAAGAGTGTTGTTTTACTATAGGAAGTTCATTTTGAATGTGAGTATTTTAAAAATGAATTATAGATGTTTAAGAAAAAATGGTTTAATTTATGAAAAGATAAAAAGTTAGTAATTCTACAGGAGTTTCATAGGCCCTTTCAAGGGCTTAGATTTGATGATAGCTATGTTTATTTTATACAATATCACTTCATTTTATTGTTGTTAATTTAAATGTACAGTCAGTCTTTTATCAGACAGCCATCTGTAAGAATGGTTTTGAGAGAGGAAATAAAAATGATACTGATTTAGTTGAAGTAACTATACAAATTATAAAAGGCAAAGAAGACTGAATTACCCATGTATGTGCAGACATGAGCTAAATATTACTTTGATTTTCAGTTACATAAACTGAAGTCTTGTGAAGAAGAGAAAAATAGGGGATTAAAGCTTATACCAGGTCTGAGTTTGTAGAAGGGAAGTAAGAAGAACAATAATGCATCAAGGGATTTGGTTACTGTAGTGAAGAGATTTGAGAATGCATAGAAGTAGAAAAGGATAGTAGCTTCATTTTAGCACAACAGCGCAAGCAAGCATTGATGTTTGAAATTTTCCTGATTCAGGGAATACCTTACACATTTATAAATACACGTAACCAAAAAGTAGCTACTGTATATTTTATTTTAGCAAGCAACTGAGGCAGGTTTCTCAGTAATTTGGTTACTTTTTGGTGAAGGAAAATTATTTGGTTGTTGATTTCCTTTTTGGTATTTTGCAGTGTACAGCATTGATTTTTTTTAATGCTGAGACGTTAATTAACCTGTACAGAGAATGTAATTTGACATTGTAATAATTAATTTACTTTCTGCCTGGATTGTAACTTTTGTCTTCTTAGGCGTGCACTGAGAACATAAACATTTAATCTTGATTAAATTTTTTTATGAATTTATGACAAGGGTGAACAAGGTCTCACTACATAGTTGATACTCAGAGTGATCCTCCTGTTTTCTGCCTCCTAAGCTCTGGGAATACAGGCACATGCTCCCATGCCCAGTCTCAATCGTGGTCTCCATGCGTCGTGGGGCCTGGGCCAGCATGGCATGCCTGGGATTGAACCCTGGCTACTGAGCTCTGCCAAAGCAGGCACTTTATTCTGCTGAACTATCTGGCCAGCCCTACACTGATTAAAATTTTAATTTTATGTTTGTTTACATATGAGCTTTCTATTGTAGCACACACCTGAGGTAAACAAGTTACGGTTTAAGTCTAGAATGCTTTGCCATATGTTCATGGGGTCAGAGTTGGGGTTTTGAAAGGTGAGTAGATGATGTGGTATTATAGTAATGAGTGCATTGGTCCATTGATGGGTTCGTAGGTGAATGTACTATTGGGAGGCAGTGCCTGTTTGAAGTTGCATCATTGAGGGCATGAGCTAGAAAAGGAGATTCTTGTCCTTGGATCCTCCCTTCTTTCTCTGCTTCTTGGTACATGGGATGAGCAGCTGTCCTTCTCCCAAGCCCTTGGAGCCAGCTGACCATACATTGAAACTATATTAAAAAATAAATTTCTCCTCTTTTAAGTTTTGACTGTTGATTATTTTGTCCAGTGGTAGAACAGTGATCAAGACACACCTTAAAGTATGAAAAGTTTATTTAGTTCAGGTTTTCAGGGGTATGTTGTCGCATGGGCCCATCACCTAGGATAGGAATAGAATCATTGTGTGCAGTGCATGGTGAAGCAAAACTGCTCTTATGGCTCCTGGGGATGGGCATAGAGGGTGGGGTGGGGAAGGGCCTGGGTCCAAATATGCTCTTCAAGGTAGTGTCCCCAGTCCCCAGTAACATTCCTCCAACTAGTTGACACCACCTGAAGGCACACTCCCCTCCATAGTGCCATCAACTGGCGAACCAGCTACTAACACATGAGTTTTTCCAGGGATGTTTAAGATACAAACCATAAACGTTTGTGCACAAAATAATAATTCATCAATATTAACTGCCCATTCTAATACTCGATCTTCCCCTCTCTTTTCTTTAACAGATCCCAGGTTTATTAAAAAATGCTACATGGCAAAGGTGGAGAAAAGACAGTTCAGCACACTTATTAGATGCTACAAAGGTAAGATTAAGCCCATACTTCAACATATAGTTGGAAAAGTATATAAGCCCTTGAAACATTTCCTAACTTGTACTATATATTTAATATATATTTTACACTTTTCAAATAATTTTCTTTTTAATGTATTTCTAAATATTGGCAAGATTGCTTGTTTCTGCTTCTAGAAATGCAGAAAAAAATCTTGGTATTTTTCTACCCCTGGAGAAATCTGAATCTCTTGAGATCTGTGCCAACTAAAGTAACATTATCAGAAAGCTTCAATATATGTAGTGACAGTTGCTGATACTTAAATATATCCTGGTAATTTGTATCTGATGTATAGAATTTTGTAATTTTTCAAGTGAGTTGAGTTTCTTTACTTTAGAAAATTTTAACGAAGCAGAACATCACAACATTGTAAACTTGTTAGAGCTCATGAGGTAAGTGATGTTTAGTTTACATATTGATGAGGGTTATTCTTCATAGCTGATGTAAATGAGAGATATCTTTAAAAATTCCCAATGCTTGCAAATAAAACAGTTAAATCTCTATGATAGAAAATGTCTAGAAAATTAAAAAATAGTCTACTTTTACATTTTTTTCTAGTTATTTCCCATTGAAGTATAAAACATTGTTGTGATTTATTCAGAGGCTGTAGCAATGAAAGATTTTTCATCATTAAACTAAGGCTTTCAGGGGAAAATATGCTTACTTTTCTCATTGTACATAATGCCATGAATTTTGTTTACATTTTAGGCTTTTGTGTTAAGACCTCATTATTTTATGTGTTATTCACCAGACCCCATGATAAAATGTGTTGTTTTGTTTTTTTGAGGAAAAAACATCAGAGAGACATTTCAGACTAGTAATTACCTTTTGATGTTTTCCTTTTACAAAGTGCTTTAAGATTGTTGATCCAAAATCAATAACCCATTTATAGCTGTTCTTGTGTTTCAAATGGTGAGAACAAAAAGGTAGTGTTGCTTCTTGTAATTCCATTTTTATAGTCTGGTCTTAAGATTGTATTGATACATATTTGTGTTTGTGAAGAATTGTTCATTAATAATTGATCATTGTAATTACTGAAAAAGCATCATTAAATCTGTATACGTCATTTAAGTATTATTTGTGAAAAGGCTTTCAATATTAACAAGACTAAAATTATAACATAATTATTAATAGTTTGTTACCTATATTTTCTCAAATGATTTTATTTTCATATATCTCTGAATTTAGCATTAATTTTAAGGCCTTTTAAAATTTTATTGTAGGTACGATAATAGTTGCAGCTAGTTGGGAGATTTGCAGATAAGTATTTTGTAAGCTAATTCAACAAGCATTAAAATCTGCATTTCATATATATATTTAAGACACTGGTATGTATATACTATGGAAGAAAACGAAAAAAGATAATTGTTGCTAAGGCAAGTAAATTTACTGGGTTATAGGAAAGATAAAATGTGCATGACTATAGTATAAGATAGACAGTGAAGCTTTAAAAATACCTGTTTCTAAATAATGTGTGACCAAGGGGTAATAAGAAAAAGATCTAGTTTTATAAAATCACCTGTATTAATTGTAAAACAAAAATATGTACAGAAGGAAAGCAAGTAGATATAAATTAACTGTATATTCTTGTCAATAAGAGTAACAGATTATCATCACAGTAGTAGTGAATGACAATAAAGGCACCACTGTAAGTTAAATAAAAGTATAGTACAAGTTAAATATTTTAAATATTAATTTCAAAGGTGATTTAGAGAAAGTAATTTCTGTATGAATATTTAATCTCAATATTCATTATATAAATTTAGCTATAAACTTTATGAAAGTGTTTTCCTGTACAATGCTAGGCTAAAAGCAAAGCTTTTGAATTTGTTTTGGGGATATTCATTAGAGTAGATTGTCTCTACTGTTTTTAAATAACTGAAATTCTGCAATAGCTAATAAATTGGCTGATATCATTTTCAATAGGCTCTCCAGGCATGGCCATCAATTGAAAAGAGGACATGTTGGCATGGGCACGCAGGAGGAGGACTACACACAGACCCAAAAGAAGGGGTAAGAGCAAATAACAAGGAACTGGAAATTTTTGTTGACGAATGTATTGCATAGAAGA